GTTAGTCTAACTCTGCTCCCATATGGAAGTAAATGGCAAACCAGCCCGATTCTTATGGGAGAAGAATTGAGGTGGCACTGAGAAATAAGCAGCTTTACTTTTCTGTCTCAGCAGAGTGTGGGTATGAGACAGTCCTTACACACAGAGGGTTGGGGTTGTGAAATAAGGATTCTGAACAGTTTCCAGTGAGGTGATGTGATTTAGAATATTGATGCATTTGCTGATAGTTTATCCCTATCTTGTTCCATAGAGAGGCTGAGTGATACAATAGTTGGATATATGTACTTAGGGGGAATCCACCAAAAATGAGAACCTTGTCTTTAAAAAGTGTCCACTAATTTTGAGTGCCTTGTTATTTGGGACCCAACTCAAGATGCTTGGGGCATCATTCCAGTTGACCTCAGTGGTGCTACAGATGTTTGGCAGGCTGTAAGAGGCTCAAACTGGGTACCCCAAAACTGAGGGCACCTCAAATTAGTGAACACCTTTGAAAATGTTGATTTTCCTTTTCTCTTCACTGAGTTACAGCCACACGCTGGTGACTTGGATGCTGCTTAGAAGGGCGTGAACCCCACTTTCCTCTCCTCCCTCTAAGGCATAGTGAGGCTGTGGAGCAGTCTGTGGAGTCGGGTTGAAAGACAAAGTGACCTCACATCATGTCTTTCTTTGAAAAGCAGAGAACATGCCCTTCTGATTATAGGACTCCTGCGAAGACACCATTTTCTGCCCAGAAGTGATGAAAATTAATAATTTTGTATGGTGAACTATTTCACTACACGATAATGTTTGTGCCCATCGGCTCAAATTGTGGTTGGCTCCCTTGTGATTTGTAATAACTCCATTTCCCTTTTTAGAGTGCAACAACCACACATCTGGTTGAAAAGCAAGGCCAGATGCCTGTCCCTACAGGGTGGGTTCTCTGTCACACGCAATGGGGCTGTCCTGCAGGCGAGGAGTCCACTGCAGGGACTGGGGTGAAGTGCACCTCATGCCCCACTGACATCAGTGGGAGCTAGGTGCTTAGGCCCCTCTGGGGCTGTGGGCCTATCTGGCTGGCTAGCCGCATAAGGGCGGTGGGCTTTGCAAGTCCCGCTGCCCATGCTCCGCACAGCACAGCCAGCAATGGGACCCAGGCGTCCTGGCTTCTGCCCACTCTGCCAGTCCACAAGTGGGTACCTCCCCCGCCAGAGCTACATGGTATGGCCCTGAGTCAATAATTTCCGCGCCCCCCTTCCATTAGCCTGATTGGTATGTTCCATAGCCACCATTTCCCCCGCAACACCCC